GTTTAACAGGAGATATTATGAATGATATGATCAGAGAGCTTTCAAGTAGAGGGATAGAGTTAGGATTACGGTATCTTTATATAGATGGTAATAATCTCAGTACAATTAATGGTGCTTCACTGGCTTCTTTAATGTCTCCAATACTAGATAGGCTTCACTTGAGTAACTGTAATTTAACAGGCGATATTATGAATGATATGATCAGAGAGCTTTCAAGTAGAGGGATCAAGTTAGGATTACAGTCTCTTTCTATAGATGGTAATAATCTCAGTACAATTAATGGTGCTTCACTGGCTTCTTTAATGTCTCCACAACTGATTCAGCTTCACTTGAGTAACTGTAGTTTAACTGGCGATATTATGAATGATATGATCAGAGAGCTTTCAAGTAGAGGGATCAAGTTAGGATTAGAGTCTCTTCATATCGATGGTAATAATCTCAGTACAATTAATGTTGCTTCACTGGCTTCTTTAATGTCAATTTCTCCACTACTGATTGAGCTTAAATTAAGCAACTGTAGTTTAACAGGCGATATTATGAATGATATGATCAGAGAACTTTCAAGTAGAGGGATCAAGTTAGGATTAGTTTCTTTATATTGATGGTAATAATCTCAGTATGATTAATGGTGCTTCACTGTCTTCCTTAATGTCAATTTCTCCACAACTGTGTCAGCTTAAGTTGAGCAACTGTAGTTTAACAGGCGATATTATGAATGATATGATCAGAGAACTTTCAAGTAGAGGGATCAAGTTAGGATTACGGTATCTTTATATCGATGGTAGTAATCTCAGTACGATTAATGGTGCTTCACTGGCTTCTTTAATTACTCCAATACTACATACGCTTCGCTTGAGTAACTGTAGTTTAACAGGTGATATTGTGAATGATATGATCAAAGAGCTTTCAAGTAGAGGGATCAAGTTAGAATTATGCTTTCTTTATATAGATGGTAATAATCTCAGTACGATTAATGGTGCTTCACTGGCTTCTTTAATGTCAATTTCTCCACTACTGATTGAGCTTAAATTGAGCAACTGTAATTTAACAGGCGATATTATGAATGATATGATCAGAGAACTTTCAAGTGGAGGGATCAAGTTAGGATTACAGCTTCTTTATATAGATAGTAATAATCTCAGTACAATTAATGGTGCTTCATTGGCTTCTTTAATTACACCAATACTACGGATTACGGTATCTTTATATCCATGGTAATAATCTCAGTACGATTGATGGTGCTTCACTGGCTTCCTTTATGGGTAATTCCATGTCAAATCAACCAGAGGTCCCAGGTCGACCAACTCGGATTTTGATGAAACTCCATAAAAATGGTCCACTATGTGAAAAATCAACATACACAAAAGATTAGCCCTACTGGATATGTAGTTTACGAGAAATCGACGCCCCCATAAAAGGGGCGTGGCTCTTCAAGATGCGCAAACAAAATTTCCTCCAACTTTGGAAGCTTATAACTCGGGATTAGTAATAGCTATCAAGGTCAAACTTGGTATTCTAACTTACTTTTCACCATATTACACAAATATCAGATCAGATCAGATTAACTGTTATCCCTTCTCTTTTGAAGTTATCTGCACTCAAAATAGCCACTTTGTTTAACGACACAATTTTTTTTGTGATTTTCGAGGTCACCCTGTGTCCATATGAGTGAGTGTATACATCTTATATTACAGATATATTATCTATGGGTAGTTGTCTCTCTAGCCACAAGCAAGCACAGGCTGATCAAATGAATTAAAGTGGAATGGCATCCATTCAAATTTGGGACCAGCCCTAAGAAATTGAAAAAAAGCCTGTTTCCCATTAACGGTTCGTCATGTGAACAGTTAAAATCTTTTCTTAAATTTACACCAGTTAATCAGATATATTAGATCTACTTATACCACAAATTTCAGCTATAGTACTCAGCTCCTTCATGGTTAGATACTAATTGAGAATGACATTTGTAACTGCAAGTTGTTCGTGGAATTATATTTTATGTATTCATATTAATCGTCTTTTGAATTATATTTTCATAGCTTTTATAATAATAATAATGTAAATAATTAAATTCACTATAAAGTAATTGAATTGGTCATTTATCTAATGTAGTTGAGACATTTCTGGTTAATTCTGTTGAGGATGACATTTGTAACTGCAAGTTGTTTGTGGAAATTATGTGTTTACAGTGTATGTTAATATATTTTTATTTATATATTCATATTGCTTGTAATAATAAAGATGTAAATAATTTAATTCACTATAAAGTACGTGAATTTGTCATTTATCTAATGTAGTTGAGACATTACTGGTTAATTCTCTTAAGGATGGCATTATTTTATCTGCAAGTTGTTCGTGGAAATATATTTTATGTATTTACAGTATATTAAACTTATTTTTATTTATATTGCTGTAATATTAATAATAATATAAATAATTTAATTCTCTATTAAGTACTTGAATTGGTCATGTATCTAATGTAGTTGAGACATTTCTGCTTAATTCTGTTGAGGATGACATTTGTATCTGCAAGTTTATTACATCTTGAATTCCAAAATTCCCCAATAACAATTTCAAATCATGATATAGATTAAAGTTGTTTTTTTTTAAATTCAAATTTGTCCTACAATTTTTGCAATGTCTTTACATAGTTCATTATAGTTATTTGTATATAGTTTTCAGTATGTTTCCAGGACCATTTGAAAAACAGTGCATAAAACTCTATAACACTGATGGGCAAAGTGCAGTCAGCGGGCCGCATGCGGTCCACCAGCGATTTGTTTTCGCGGCCCGCAAAAATGAATTATAAACCCTATCCGTGTGGCCAGCCAAGCAACATTGCCTAGAAAACACCTTGTTTTTATGGCCCGACTCCAATCATATACAAAAAGTAAAATTAAAACTGAGAATAAATTGGTGTAAAAGCAGTTCTTAGAGGTTAACACAATTTTAAAAATGGAAATATATTTCATATTTATATTATTCTTATTGTTATTTATATTTTCATATATTTACAGGTATATATTATTTTTTTATTCTTTAAAACATATTTTGTATTTGTAGACCTAAGATATATCTGCAGTGTATATGAGGAATAAATGTATCTATATAGTTATATGACGTGTGTAAATTTATGTGCTAACTTCTTTTAAGACTGATAAGTTTTATTTTATATGTACTTAATTTTGCATCTTGGCAAATTATTTTTTATGTACGCCACTGGTGTCTTAAGTGTATAATAAAATTAAAGTATATCTTACCTTATGTTTTTCATTGTGTTTTTTTTTACAATAAATACGATTTAAAAGAATTAGGTCTATGTCTTATAAACGGCCTGCGTGCCACATTTGTGCCGCTAAGTAACTCAATCTTGCTTGCAAAAAAATATATAATAAATGATTATAAGATTGAAAAATATTAATCTTAAGCTATCTTAAGGTATGCCCATTAATTTCCTCCATGGGTCTAGTATCACTACTACAATAATAAGATTAATATTTTTCAATCTTATAATCAATTTTATATAGCCGGAGTTAGTTTCGACCTAGGCAAACCTTTGCTAAAAAGTACACTTTCTCCAACAAAAGGCTTCTTCTATGAATGGAATGACCTGTTCGAAGCACGAACTCCTGTAGACCAAACCCAGTACCGTTACGATTTTTAATCATACGGGAAATCCACTCACGATCATCATCATAGCAGAACAACAACAGAACCACATACACATACAGCGATGCACTAAACATGATTATGTTTTATACGATCATAATGTACATTTATACCTAATTCCAGGTAAGACATTTTTTTTTAGTTTATTTTATGAACATTAATTATGCTTTATTTTATAATAAAGAGATTTTGGAAATCACTTAAGGTCCGATTCGATTTCGAATTATGAAAAGTGTAGGCTGTTGCACCGAGACCTCTGACGATTAGTGCCCAAAATTGTTTACAAAACGTATTGCAATAATAGCATATTGACTACTATTGGAGATATTTCAGCCGCTCCAGATATCTTTCCTATTTTTCCTTCTTCCTTTATTCTTTCACAATTTTATCGTTATATTCTTTTTTTCCATAATGTTATACACTCCCATGATATAGTCACTCGTTTAGGTCTAGGCTAGACCTCGGCTATGCCTATTACTATATTATTTAAAATATACAATTTTAATAGAAAAGATTAATTTTACATGGACATAGTAATTCATACTTAAACAAGACGTTAACAAATAAAAATAATTTAAACGTGTACACATTATCACTACTACAATAATAAGATTAATATTTTTCAATCTTATAATCAATTTTAAATAGCCGGAGTTAGTTACGACCTAGGCAAACCTTTGCTAAAAAGGTACACTTTCTCCAACAAAAGACTTCTATGAATGGAATGACCTGTTCGAAGCACGAACTCCTGTAGACCAAACCCAGTACCGTTACAATTTTTAATCGTACGGGAAATCCACTCACGATACAGTGTATAAGGTATACATGTATCTATATAGTTATAATGTGTTTAAATATATGTGATAACTTCTTTTAAGACATATGTTTTATTTTATATTATGTACTTAATTTTGCATCTCAGCAAATAATGTTTTATGTACCCCACTGGTTGTATTAAGTGTATAATAAAGTATATCTTATCTTATTTTTGCATATTTTTACAATAAATACAATTTAAAAGAATTAATTCTATGTCTTATGTGGTCTGTGGACCACATTTGTGCTGCGAAGTAAATTAGTCTGGCCCGCAAACAAAATTAAGGAATTAAAAATTTTCTTAAAGAAAGACTAAAATGCAACACTGTCCAATGTGCAATAACAACCTTTACAACAAGCAACTCGGGGTACAGTATGTGAAAGTGATGATTGCTGGACACAGTGGTCCTATTCCGATATAATTTTATAGGCAAAGTATTTTAGTCTGTAGGTCAATATATAGAGAAATGGATCAAACAGTATGCTTTTAATTTGTAAACTCAAATATGTAAAACCTGCTCAGAGGCGTATGAAACTACGGTATTCGACGATTATGCCTTACTTTAAGCTCCGACGGCCATATTCCCCTCCCCAAGGGACCCATGAAAAGAAAGAAAATTGATGATTATGGCACCTCTAGAGGGCCGGAAATGGCTCCATCAGACTTAAATCTGAATATAATTTTCTTTCTCCTACCCCATTTTTTGTTCGCCTAATTTTGAAATATTTAGGGAGCCCCCGAGCCGGCTCTCCCTCCCTTTAATCCGCCACTGATCTGGTTAATGAGCTTTCCAAACACATTCAATTTTATTTTACTGCACAAGTGACACCGATCGGCAATGACTTTGATCATTGAGCAGTGAAAACATAAAGCAATGCAAATTATGAAATTGCGAAGATGTGTTAATTTCCGGGAAATTTTTGCTTGCTTGCGGGAGTACGGGAGGGCGTCCCGAGACTCCCACGAGTTCCGGGAGACTTGGGACCCCTGGCAGGGGGATTTGCCCATTTTTCCCAAGTGTTTAACCTCAGGTTTATGTATGTTCATTCACCTAACTGCTGTTTTATTCTTCATCAATACATAGGCCATTTGGCCCATATATAATACATTAAAGAG